CTGCACGCGGCAAGAGGTCGCGGTCGTCGAGGAAGAGCTTGTAGCCCCGACGCCGCTCCAGCTGCGGCTTCAGGATGAAGTTAACGAACTTCCGATCTTCGGGGCTGTCGCTGTAGGAGACGTAGGCGTCGTAGAGCTTCCCGTCTGCGGACGGCGGCGGGTCAGCGCGGCCACCCCCAGGGGTCCTCTAACCTTTTCCCCACTAGCGCACAGGACCCCAAACACAGACCCCGCACAGAACACCGCCCCCAGGCCTCACCTAGACCCCTCCCCAGCGCAGGACTCCAAATGGAGCCCTTGTACCAGGATACAGGCCCCATGCCCCCTTTCTGCCGACCCGGCCCTACGCCCTCCTGGGCTGCATGGAGCCCCCTCCCCTGGGATGTGTGCGCGCCGGAGCCCTCCGGTGCTGCTGCCTTCTCATCCCCGCCCCGCCCCAAAGCTGAATGTAGGGAAGCCCTATGGCTGACGGCCCGGCCGTCCATCCGCGCACGTCTGCGCACGCACCGTTCATCTCCACCTCCCCGTGCGTGTCTTGGTACCAGAGCAGCACATTGAGTCGACACTTCACATAGAGCAGCGCCACCAGAAGCAAGATCAGCAGGACCAGGAGTGAGGCCAGCACCGCTGCCAAGTGGCCCGCTGGGCCTGGGGACAGAGCTGCAGCCTGAGCCACTGCACCCACCACCCTCTAGGCTCCCCAGCGCCCCGCCAGGCCTCCCCACTACCCTCTGTCCCAGTGTAAGCCCCTCACCAGCAATCCAAAGAGTGAAGGAGGAGGAACTGGCATTCCAGACGGAGCAGGCGAAGGCCCCATAGTTCTCAGCGCTGGTCAGGTTGACTCCCAGGACACTGGACACGAGCATCTCTGACAAGTTGGCCTTGACCCTGGGGAGACCAGGCCCCACCCTCTCACCTGGGGGCCGAGAGCATCAGTGGACGCCCCAGAGCCCCACCTGTCTGGGACTCACCCAGAGAGGCTGCAGGTTTGGGCTCCCTGGACAGCCCTTGGGCCAGAAGCTAAAAGGAGTGGCAGAACCTAGAAGGGGTGTGGATCTGTTTAGTGACAGTCACCCCAATCCTGCATCTCGGTCCCAATGGCCAGTACCTCATTCAGGCCTTATGACTCTAAAGGCACCCATGGCCCTGGGTGATCTGCAAAGCCATTGTCTACAGCGGCCATCTGTCCCTGAGGTCACCGCCCCTCGGGCTGCTTTCAGAGTGGCACTCTGGCCAGGTCACTCCCCAGCCCATGTCCAGGTGGTTACAGATCAGGGTCTAGGTCGGAGAGGCCCTTGGCCACCAGTATATCCAGGGTGGTCGCTGACCCTGGACCCTCCAGTCTCTTACCAGGTATCCTCACGGATGTCATAATGGCTTCCATTGCCCAGGGGCAGCCCGTCTTTTAGCCACTGGACTGAGGGCAGGGGACAGTGGGGCCCAGAGACCACCTGGGCTGTGCAATTCAGAGTGACCACACTGCCCAGGGCAGGCCTCAGGACCTGGCTCCCAGAAGGAGAGAGGAAGTCGGGGGCCCTGTCGCAGACACCTGCAGAAAAAGGACCCAGTGGGTTAGCTGTGCTCCGGTCGCTGGGCTCCCGCTGGCTGCAGGTGGTCTGTGGGCCAGGAAAAAACATGTGTTGCTTGGTGGGCACACCATGTCTGTCCACGAGTCCCATGGCGGACAGGGCCCAGCACCTGGCTGATCGTCCACCCAGGATATGAGCCAGCACCTTCCTGTGGGCTGGGGGCCAGCGGTCCCAGGACCCTCTGCTGGCCACAGGCAAGCCTTCCTGCCTCCCTGAGATCCAAACTTTCTCCTCTTATAGTCGAGAAGGGGAGCACTACAGGAGTCAGAAGAGACGGCCATCTTGGCAGTGGGGTCCCCCAGCAGCCCATACCTCCCTGCCATGGCCCCCAAGCAGCACCCACTCCCACAAGCCTGGTCTGGAGGCCTGGGGCGGATGAGGGCTCACGGCTCGCCCTAACCACAGGGTCAAGACTGCGGGCATGGGGGAGGGGCAGGCAGAGCCCAAGTACATGTCCGACTGGAGCCAGAGAGGGGCAGGAGGTAAGAGGGGGCCCATGCCTGTCGCTCTCTGACATTCTACCTGCCATGGTCTGTCCAGGGCCTCCTCAGGCAGGCCGGGCGCAGTGCCACCCCACGCTCCACGGACTCCTCAGCCGCGAGACTGACGGCTGGGCAGGACTTGCTCTCTGTTCTCGTGCTGGGTCAGTCAGAGCGCCAGGGTGGGTCAGAGGCTGCCACCATCCCCAGGGAGCAAGTTAAACAAGAACAGGATGAGTTAACGTGTAACTTCGGCCACAGACTGCACCATGCACTGGCTGCCTCACGGACACCAGCACTGTTCTACTCCAAGCGCCTTACATGAGGGCCGGGAGGGACCCTCAACTGACCACCTGCCCCAGGGCCAAGGGCCACCGTGACGGCCCAGGGTGGAACAGTGGGCCCACAGCCCCCGCAGCCTCATGGGGCTTGAAGGCCTCCCATGCACTCTCCCCCTGCAGTCTGTGTGGCACACACAGCCCCTCCCCACACACCTGCACGAAGCTGCCACCGTGGCCCATGTGCACACGTGCACACTCCCACCTCCGTCACTCCGGTACACACAACGGGCATGCGCAGCACAGATGTGGAGCAGCTAGCTCCCCAGGGCACACAGCCACGAGCATCTGCACAGCCCCCGCCGGCACACACGGCCTCCCACTGTCCCTCACTCTCACACAGCACACACAGCACACACTCACGAGCACAGACGTTCCAAACAAGCTGCGGGGCTCCCCTCAGCCAGGCCTGCCTCTGAGGACAGGCCTCAGGCCAGAGGATGGGGACACAGGCTCACGCAGGGCAGCGGGGCCAAAGAGGGAGGGCACGAAGTCACCTGGTTCTGGCTCTCTCCTCCTGGGGGGGATGTTGGTCACTGAGGTCACTGATGTGTGCTTGGGAGCAAACTGCTCAGCCGGGCCCCAGGCCCAGTGTGAAGCGGCTCAGATGCATTGCCAGGCACCGTGAGGACCTGGCTTTTGTTTGTTTTAATCAGAACTTTCCTGTAGCTTCCTGGCCTTGCAGTCACATCCTCTCCTAAACTTAAACCCCACCCAGGCACCCACCCCCGCCCCAGTGGGGCGGGCAGTTGGTGGTTCTCTCGCCCCGC